CGTGTTAAATAATCCCCACGACTCTTTATCTCAATCTTTACTGCGAACTTGAAATTCCCTTTGGGAAATAAGGAATTATTCATTCATAATTGCGTGATAAATAACCAATTTGCTTTCAACGCCTTGTCTGACATTTCTGCCATTCCTCTGCTGCTAGGTCATTTGTTCAATTATGTCAAGATGGCATTCTCAGACAGATCCTACCGTCTAGTGTCACAACTTATTGAATTTTTCTGTTGATATTTGCAGCTCCTCGTAGTTTTCATTAAGTTCTACTCATATTCCATAAAATACATAACTACACCTTAAAAGCCTCGTTCCCATACATCTACCTCAACAATAAAGGATTTTCCCTAAGGAATTAAAGGAACCTCGTTAACCTACCGGCCCCGACAATTCACCCGGCTGAACATCCACCAGCCATTCACATTATTTCTACTGTTACTTTTACATATTGATATTAAGAGCCACTGACCCTAAATATCGAGAATCCGCAGACAGTTGCAAAATTTCGTAATTCATTTAATTTTTTCTGAAGGACCCTTTTAATGAACCTTTTTCGAAATTATATAAAAAAATTCTATCGCGCTTTTTTTCTCCGTAAAATCGTAAAGTTCAAAGCACGCCTAAATGACAACGCGGAAATACGTTTTCGTGACGTCACAGTAACAGGTCCGTGGTCATCAACTTTAGGCTGCCAAGCGCTTCCATAAGTTTGTAGACTGAGTTCGATGAAGACATCGGCCTTTTGCGTGGCTTTAAGTTGCAAAACATGCATGATACTTCTCCTTGTTTGTTATATTTGATCCTTTGAATGTTTTTTTAATACTAAAATCACTTTGTTTGGAGTTGTGTGCTGTTTGCTGTCTTAGGCTGGCCGTCCAGTTGCGAAGCGCGATCTTGGTTCTTCAGTCGCCCTCGCCTTCAGAATTGTCAAAAACAGCGATAGTTATCCAGACAGAGCAGGAGAAAAGTTCTGTAAGATACTTTTCCAGCGAGTTTGAAGACTGGTTGGATTTTTAAGTGTACAGGTAATTATTGTGTTGAGAAAATATTCATACACTCACTTTCCGCCGACGTGCGGTGCCTTTTCATTTTGGTAATTATTCGCTTGGATGAGAACTTTACCTTTATAGACTGATTTTTCGCCATTCCACCCCTCTGATTTTCTGTGCCTTTAAGAACGGGTGTCCGTAATCAAAATATGAAAACATTTGTTCATTTCATATACTTGCAGTTTTATCAACAAGTTATCTCGTGAACAGGCAC